GTGGTAATATAAATGATCTGGCTCAAGCAGGTCCTGAAGACACAAGCAAGTTACATGAGGAAATGGCTCAAATGCCTGTGGTCTCCACTCCTGCCACCCTGCCTTCTCTCCCAACCCTGCACCGATGGCATCATGGGGAATCCCCTATGATCAGCTGACAGAGGAAAAGACGGCAAGGGCCTGGTTCACAGGTGCTTCTGCCCAATATGCAGGCATGAATAATACACAGGCATATATGCAAATACAATGTATGGCATAAAGAATATGGACCAAGACCTTAGAGTCAGAGATAATATAGCCACTTACAAAGATTTCCAATATTTATAGTTAATAACTCTAAAATTTAATACATCATTCTTTGTACAGAAACAACTTATTTAAAAAATTGTCCTCAATGCTAATGTTGTGAAATTGTTATGATATATAATAGTAATTAATGTAAACCTATTTTGACCAAGGTATTACTAACACACAAAAAAAGAGAAGTGAAAATAGGTTAACAAAAAAACTGATGTCACTATATAATGCGTTACGAAAATTCTACATAAAAAATATTTTACAGGCTGGTTGTAGGAGCTGACACCTGTAATCTTAGCACTTTGGGAGGCTGTGGCTGGAGGATCACTTGAGGCCAAGAGTTCAAAACATTAAGCTGAGCAACACAGTGAAACCTCATTTCTACAAAAGTAAAAAAAACAAAAAAATTTAGGTGTGGTGGCATGCACCTGTAGCCCCAGCTATTTGAGAGGCTGAGGTGGGAGGACTGCTTGAGCCCCGAAGTTCAAGGATGAAGTGAGCTATGATGGCACCACTGAACTTCAGCCTGGGTGACCGAGCAAGACCTTGCCAAAAAAAAAGCTTGGCATGGTGGCTCACACCTGTAATCTGTAGCACTTGGGGAGGCTGAGGCAGGCAGATCGTCCCTGAGGTCAGGAGTTTGAGATCAGCCTAGCTAACATGGTGAAACCCCATCTCTACTAAAATATAAAAATTAGCTGGGCATGTGGCAAATGCCTGTAATCCTAGCTACTCAGGAGGCTGAGGCACGAGAATTGCTTGAACCCAGGAAGCAGCGGTTGCAGTGAGCTGAGATCATGCCACTGCACTCCTGCCTGGGCAAGAGAAGGAGACGCTGTCTCAAAAAAAAAAAAAAAAAAAAAGAAGAAGAAAAATATCTTTTACAATCCTGATGGTCTATCAAAAGAAAAAAAAATTTAAAAATTAATCCTTTTGACCTTACCATAGCAACAATAACTATTAGCAACGGTCCATGAAATATTCCTAATGCTAAGAAACTGTGTATGTTCTTTACATAACAAATCTAACAACTAAATTCAATAAACAAATGGAACTATGTGGAATCTTCATGGAGAATATTTTAAACTTGAACTTTTAGCTTGAAATATTTTGATCTGTCTATCCAACTACACTAACAGGCAAAGAGTGAAAAGATAACACTTGAACGTCAGCAAGGGTCACTGCACCAGCCTGACTAACATGGTGAAAACACGTCTCTAGTAAAAATACAAAAAACTATCCAGGCATTAGGCATGTGCCTTCGATCTCAGCTACTTGGGAGGCTGAGGCATGAGAATTGCTTGAACGGAGGAGGCAGACCTTGCAGTTAGCCGAGATTGCAGCACTGCACTCCAGCCTGGGTGACAGAGCAACTTCATCTCAAAAAATAGTTGGGGGGGCAGGGCGCACTGCAACTCTATTTGTAAGAGCCTTCTCCCCACCCCCAAACATTCAAGATCAACTGTGGCTGCAAGTCAAAGTCTCAGTAATGTCAGTATTTGAAATAGCAAATTCTTTACCACTTACGCACTGAGCTGCTCCAAATACTTGGCACACAGTTGAAGATGCACTTTACCAAATGGTAAAGGGGCAGGCTCAAAGCAGCACAGAACCAAAAAGGAATCTATGTCAGGCCCGATGCTTATGCAGAAATGTGAGCGACACTCACAGGCCCAGGACAATGTCTAATCCTAGAAGTGGAGGCTGGAGGACTTGGATGGGCTCTGCCCATGCCAGCCCCTCAGGAGGCACTGTCCTTTGAAGAACAAGGACAGAGCATGGCTTCCTTGATGTCAGCCTGTAGGATCCTTCCTGGAACAGTGGAGAATGTTTTTAGAGAAGGTAGTGGGCAGAGGGCACTAGACACGCATGGTGTATTGGTGCGTTGGAGGCAATGGCCTCTTTGTAAGTTTCTGTGTTCACTGTCTATTAGCTTTGCGTCACAGCTAATAGACAGGCTCTGAAATCAAAGACTGAACTTAGAGAAACTGCAGCCTGAGAGCCTGGGAAATGCTAACTGGGAAAAAAGACACTGACTCATGGAAGTAATAGGCATGTCATATGCCAGAGAAGGATAAATAAAAACATGTCTCAAATAATCTACGCCAAAACTGGGGAAGATGGTCTTCCAGCTGCTCTTGGATAAGGGTTTGAACAATAATTTTCTTTTTTTCTTTTTTTTTTTTTTTTTGAGACAGAATCTCACTCATTCTCTAGCCCAGGCTGCAGTGCAGTGGCACGATCTCAACTCACTGCAACCTCTGCCTCCCAGGTTCAAGCCATTCTCCTGCCTCAGCCTCCTGAGTAGCTGGGATTACAGGCATGACCCACCATGCCCAGCCTCAGTAATACTTTTCTCCAGAGCGATTGGTAGTTAAAACCATATTCAACTCACTATTGTCTAACATAGGTATGCATACCTCATTTAATCTGTCCCTTAAATAACTATCAAATTTTGCATCACAGGAGGCCATATATTTCATCCATTTCTTCTTTAAAAAAAAACTTCTACTTAAACTTTTCAATACGGACATTTTCAAAAATTCACAAATGAGAGCATAGTATAGTGAACCCTACGCATCCATCACACAGCTTCAACAATAAATTTCCACTTAAAATAGTTTTAAAGGGAAAAGTGTTTTACAGCCCATTCAAAACCAAAAATTTTACCTATATACTCTTATATACCCATGTTACAACCCTCTAATAGTTCCAACTACCAATTTACTACAAAAGATTTTTTAAGGACTAGAAAAAACTATTACTCTATTCAGAAGGAACACTGTAAAAGCCTGTCAGAATCAAAGATAGTATGCATCATAGAATGGACAGATGTCAAACTGAGGCCTTCTGTGCCTTCACATCCCCCAATATTTCTTTGAATATAAGAGCTTTGCTAGCTAGGTGTGGTGTCTCATGCCTGAGATCCCAGCACTTTGGGAGGCCAAGGCAGGAGGATCACTTGAGCCTTGGAGTTAGAGACCAGCCTGGCAACAGAGTGAGACCCCATCCCTACAAAAAAATTTTTTTAATTAACCAGGTGTATACCTGTGCCAGGAGCCAACCCGGTCTTCTCAAGGGGCAGTGCCCTAGTGAGGATACAAGCAAGATAATAAAGTTCCCTGTAGGTCTTTCTGTCCAAAAAAACAACAACAAGAAAATTAAATGAACCAGGCACGGTGTGGAGCTCTGCAATCCCAGCTACTCAGGAGGATCGCTTTAGCCCAGAAGCTCAAGGCTGCAGTGAGCTACAATTACCACTACACTTCAGTCTGGATGACAGAGCCAGACATTGTCTCAAAAAAAAAAAAAAAGCTTTTGTAGCTTCTTAGGCTCACATCTCTCCTCAGAGACCTTTCTGTTTTCAGTCGGCAATATCGGGACAGTAATAAGACACAATATATTTAAGCAAGATGAGCAGAAAATACCACCTTACAGAAAGAGCTGAGATAGGACCACAGCATCATTTGGCTCCTTTTGCCCTTTGTGATGGTACAAGTAAGGACATTGACTAATCATAGTAAGCTTCTGATTTGGTAAGGAAATTTTGGGTAAAAATATCTGTGAGTTGTAACAGCAGATATTTGGATGTTTGTCATTCAGACTGCAAGGTACATTTGATTATGTACATTTTTTTCTTAACTGTTAGATGAACTATAGCCAACTCATTTAATAAGGTTGCTTCCCTTTTTACCTAATTACATAAATGTTTAAAATCACAAGCATTAAACTCTCCTCCAAGTAATAGTAGTTAAAAAAAAAAGTTCCTGAACCAAACAGATTCTCCAAAGATGCGTAGTCGTCACTTGGAAGGTCAAATTTAACAATCAATGAAAATAACTCCAAAAACATTGTTTCCAAACAGACCATTACTATTGTAGAGTAGCATTATGGGCTCAACTGTGTCTCCCTCAAAATCTGTGTATTGTCTCCCTAACCCTCGGCACCTTAGGATGTGGTTGTATTTGCAGATAGAGTCTTTGCAGAGGTAATTAAGTTAAAATGGGATGGTTATAGAGTAGGTCTCAATCCAATAGGACTGGTGTCTCCATAAAAGGTTAGCACACAGACATGTACAGAGAGAAAACAGCCATCTACAAGCCAAAGAGAGAGGCCTCAGGAGAGGCCATCCTGCTGACCCCTTGATCTGGGACTTCCAGCTGCCAAAACCGTGAGAAAATAAAACTGTGGTTTAGGCCACCCAGTTTGTGGTACTCTGTGAGGGCAGACCCAGCAAATAAATATAGTAAGTAACAAAGGTTATCTAATGGAAGCTACAGAAAAGGCCCTTAATTATGCCTGGGGGCTCTGAATTTTTTCTTTTTTTTTTTTTTCCCCTGAGACATAGTCTCGCTCTGTTACCTAGGCTGGAATTCAATTGCACAATCTTGGCTCGCTGCAACCTTCGCCTCCCAGATTTAAACCATTCTCCTGCCTCAATCTCCCGAGTAGCTAGAATTACAGGCGTGCACCTGGCTGATTTTTGTGTTTTTAGTAGAGACAGAGTTTTGCCATGTTGACCAAGCTGGTCTCAAACTCCTGACCTCAAGTGATCCACCCACCTTGGCCTTCCAAAGTGCTAGGATTACAGGTGTGAGACACCACGCGTGGCCTGGGGGCTCTGAATTCATAAAGAGAGAAGAAAATCTGTCAAAAGAGCTGGCCAGGCACATGAGAGACAATCTAACTATTTATTTATTTACTTATTTAATAGACATTTGATTTTTCTTCTTTTTTCTTCTTTTTTTTTTTTTTTTTTTTAAGAGAGGATGTCTATGAATGAGAAACCTTTTGTTATAAAAGTCTTATTAAGGGCCTGGCATGTTGGCTCATGCCAGTAATCCTAGCACTTTGGAAGGCTGAGGTGGGCAGATCACCTGAGGTCATGAGTTCGAGGCCAGCCTGATCAACATGATGAAACCCTGTCTCTATCAAATATACAAAAAGAAAATTAGCTGGGTGAGGTGGTGTGCACCTGTAGTTCCAGCTACTCAGGAGGCTGAGACAAGAGAATCACTTAGTGAGATGGGGCATCTCACTATGTTGTCCAGGCTGGTCTTGAACTCCTGGGCTCAAGCAATCCTCCTGCCTTGGACTCCCAAAGTGCTGGGATTACAGGCATGAGCCACCATGCCTGGCCAACCTAACCCTTTTAAACAAATTCTGATGACAATCAGATGACAGCTCAGTGTATGGACTCTGACCAAATAAATCTTTATTTCAACTATTCAATTACATGGCCAGGCTTTATCTGTCCTCCAAACTTTTAGAGAGCAAGACTGATAACATTTAACCTTTCAGGTATACAAGGAATGTAGATGAGACATGTAGACTTGGGAAGGTATAAACATGAGATAACTTTGAGAGTTTATGAAAATATTTAAAATATTTTTTAAAATCAATACACATATAATTTTGAAAACAGTAAGCCACATCAGGAAAGAAATTTTGTGGGTACACAATAAACTAAGAATTTTGTGGTCACAATGGGATTTCAGGTACACAAAAGAGCATGAAATTAACAATATTTACCAATATTCTCTTCAAAGTGCTTTTCAAACGCCAAATATTACCCAATTAAGCCACTGCAAGATAAGCAAGATAAGCTGCTATTACTTTTAACAAAAACAACTAATAATTACATTTTAACGGTTTCTGTGAAGAAAGAATTGAATGTTTACCATATACAAGTGCGCATATCCCACCCTTTTAAGGAGTAGGGAACAGGAGAAAAAAAAGAAAGGCTGATTATGTAAGTGAATTCAGTGGGGGACACAGATGACTACGAACCACAACCTGTGAAAACAGAGAATTTAATATGTAAAGCAGAGACCACCACTGGCAAAAGGCTATTTACGAATACTGCCAATACTTAACATTACAGACTGACAACAGGAGATCTTCGGTCCTGCCCTGAACAACACAATTCATCACACTAGTGCTTGGGGCAGTCATGTCCAAGCAATTTATCATCATCATATCACTTGCCTGAGTATGAGAGGGGGAGAACTTTGATTGCTAACCTCTAAGGAGACTGGATTTATAGCCAGCGTCCCTTAAGAATGCAGCACAGCTCTGCCCAAAGCACAATGCTCCCTGCTTCACTTCTGTTTAACTCAGAATAAAAGAGTGAACACATCGCCCCCAGGACATTCATAGCAAAACCTAAGTCTGATACTCTTAGATCCGAAATCAGATAGCTGGGAAATCATATTTAAAATACTCCTTGAAACTGCCTGAAAAAAAATGTATTAGTCAATGGTAAGTATGGATGATTCATTTCAAATGTCCTTCAGTGACAAAATAATTTCTGAAATGCATCCACTGATAACTGCATTTGGGAAGAATCATCTTTTCACAGCTCACCCACGAACATTCCTCTGTAGTGGAAAACTTGGAAGTGCACTGAAAATTGTTAAAAATATATAAATTGTGTTTTTCAAAGTAAAAATGAAAGCCTTGATTCCTATCCCTTCCACGCACCGAGGCTTTACGTATTTTACACTTTAACATGGTCTGCCCTTACAGAATATAATTAAACATCTAATGCCATTTTTGCCAATTTTGATTAAAATCACAAAGCGGACTGGGGTATGATGGGAACAGCACACCTGCCAACTCCCACACAGTAAAAGAAGCACAATTCACAGGACAAGCCTCTTTCAGCACCCTCCCTGATGCTCCAAAGGTGTCTGGTAAACCTGAGCCAGAAATCCCCAAAAACATGGCTTATCTGATAATATTCACTACGCAGGCTCGACCAGGCAGACCACAGTAACACATAAATCGCCAAATCTCAGGGTCTGAACACAACAAAAGTTTATTTCTAGCTCATCATATATGTCTAACACAGTATGGAAGGGGGCTCCGCTCACTGTCCTCTTTCTATGACCCGGGATGACAGCGCTGCCTCTATCTGGATGGTCACTGTGGCAGAGGGAAAGCGATTGTGACAGATCTTTCACTGGCTTTTCACACGCTTTTACCTGGAAGTGACACAGGTCACTCCACTTGTCTTTCATTGGCCAAACAAGTCACGTGGACATACCTACCTGGAAGGGGACAGGGAAATGGCTAACACAGCTCCCACACAGAGCAGGCAAAGAGGTATTTCTACTCAGTGGTTACTGTTTTGACAAAATAGGTAGAACCACAGAGCCAGTTTATGCCAAATGGAACCAGATACTTTCTTTTTCTTTTTTTTCTTTTTTTTTTTTTTTTTTAAGTAAGAGAGGACGTCTATGAATGAGAAGCCTTTTGTTATAAAAGTCTTATTAAGGGCTGGCTGTGCTGGCTCATGCCTGTAATCCCAGCACCTTGGAAGGATGAGGTGGGCAGATCATCTGAGGTCAGGAGTTCGAGACCAGCCTGATCAACAGGATGAAATCCCATCTCTACCTAAAATACAAAAAAACTTAGCTGAGCATGGTAGTGTGTGCTTGCAGTTTCAGCTGCTCGGGAGGCAGAGGCAGGAGAATCGCTTAAACCCGGGAGGTGGAGGTTGCAGTGAGCAGAGATAGCACCAGTGCACTCCAATCTGGGCAACAGAGTGAGACCTTGCCACCAAAAACAACAAAAAAAAGCTTATTAGGAAAACCTGGACCACTGAAAATACACTCGAAACAGCAGCTAAAGAAAACAGAATGAAGCCACATTTGATGTATGAAAAATATTCAACAACTATCTCAGTCAAATTCACAGGGATACTGGGCAGACTAGAGCTTGATCAGAAATTCTCAGTATTGTTACTCTATGGCTTACTGAGGCATTTAATAGATTTGACATTGGCTGGTGCCGTGGCGCATGCCTATAATCTCAACACTGGTGGGCCAAGGTGGGAGGATCACTTGAGCCCAGGAGTTCAAGACCAGCCTGGGCAATAAAACCAGAACCCCATCTCTACAAAAATAAATAAATAAATAAATATTTCAAAAAGAAGATATTTGAGGATAAACATTCCTCCTGTATTAACACTCTGGAGCACATGGAAGCAAAGGTGGACATTTACCAAGCTCCTCTCACGCGATACAGTTCATTGCTTTGTCTCTAAGCTTCAGTCCGAGAGCAGTCTCTAAAACCCTGGCATCAGGGCCACTTACTCTACTTAAAATAGTCACAGGGACCCTATGGCCAAGCCCTGGCACTGAGTACATGGGCATGTGCTTCTCCAGATTCTAAATGATCTATTTTTGTGTTCTCTTGCTCTCCGATCCTATTTGGCTCAAAATTTACTGACACTTCAAAGTGTATTAAATTGCATTCTTTTTCAGAAATGCTTCTCACTTCAGCCATATTCAGGGTATCTTCCGTTCTTCATCAAGAAGGGGAAATTTGCCCAGTGAAACTGATCTTTCAGTAAGTCCCTCCAAAATAACCAGGGTCCTGATTTTCCTCCTGTCTCACTAGCCACCCTTCTGGATGGATCCGCCCCCACTGACCTCTAAAATACATATTTATTGATTTTTCAACTGAATAAACAGACCCTTCCTGACTACCTTGTAATTTCAGCACCAAATTGGACCCAAAATAGGAAGACCCTCTCAATCTATTCTGGTTCGAGGGCTGCCCAATTAAAAAAGAAAAAAAATAGCTCAAAGTATCATTAAATGATAAAAACATAATCTTATCTTCATAAATCCATAGATTATTAGATCTATTAGAGACCTAGAGAACACTTATCTTTTCTTTTTTTTTTTTTTTTGAGACAATGTCTTGCTCTGTTGCCCAGGCTGGAGTGCAGTGATGCGACCTCAGCTCACGGCCACCTCTGCCTCCTAGGTTCAAGCAATTCTCCTGCCTCCTGCCTCAGCCTCTCCAGTAGCTGGGATTCAGGTGTACCTGCCACCACGCCCAGCTAATTTTTTGTAGAGAAAGGGTTTCACCATGTTGGCCAGGCTGGTCTCGAACTCCTGGCCTCAAGTGACCCACCCGCCTCAGCCTTTCAAAGTGCCAGGATTACAAGCCTGAATCGCTGCACGCGGCCTGAGACCACTTACCTTAATGTGTCTAGAAAAGACAGGCAGGCGTGCTCGCTTCGGCAGCACATATACTAAAACTGGAAAACACAGGCAGGCCAGGCGCAGTGTCTCGTGCCTGTAATCCTAGCACTTTGGGAGGCCCAGGCAGGCAGATGCTTGAGCCCAGGAGTTTGACATCAGCCTGGGCAAAATGGCAAAATCCCGTCTCTACCAAAAATACAAAAAATAAAACAGAAAATAAAAACTAGCCAGGCTTGGTGGTGTGCATCTGTAGGAGGCTGAGCTGGGAGGATCATTTGAACCGGGGAAGTGAAGGTTGCGGTGAGCTGTGATGGCACCACTGCACTCCAGCGTGGGTGACAGAGTGAGCCCCAGTCTTTAAAAAAAAAAAAAAAAAAAAAAGCAAAAGAAAAGCAACTTGTTGAAAGTCACTGAGCTGGAACCAGAATTCGAATTAGGTTCTACTCATTCTGGGTTCAAAGTTATTTAAATCGGCAACCCCTCTTACTGCCTGTGTAAGAGTATACCTTTAGTTCCCACTGACTTGTGATGTGCAAAGAATGAGGTGGTCTAAGAGGGTAACAGCACAGGCTGTGGAGTCAGAAAGACTCCACCTCTAAACTTTCTTTCCATCTCTAAACTTTCCAGCAGTGTGGCTTAGCTTTTCTGTACCTTAGCTTTGTCGGTATCACGAGATTCCTTCACAGAGCTGCAGAGTGGATTAAGTGAGAAGTGCACAGGACTCAGACATATGACCCCTGGTGATTAGCTTTCACTAACTGTAAAAAATATAGACCTGTACCCCCAGCACTTTAGGAGGCAGATTGAGCCCAGGAGCTCGAAAGCAGTCTCTACAAAAAATACAAAAA